ACACACTACACTACACTACATACCACACTACACACTACACTACACACTGCCCTACACACTACACTATACACTACACTATACACTACACACTACACCACACACTACACTACATAGCACACTACAATATACACTACACACTATACACACTACACTACACACCACACACATTACACTACACACCACACACCACACACACGACACTACACACCACACTACACTACATACCACACACCACACACACTACACACCACACACACGACACTATACACTACACTACACACTATACACACTACACTACACACCACACATATTACACTACATACCACACACCGCACACACTACACTACACACCACACAAACTACACTACACACCACACTACATTACATACCACACACACTACACTACACACCACACACACTACACTACACACCACACAAACAACACTACACACCACACTACACACTACATTACATACCACACACACTACACTACACACCACACACACTACACTACACACCACACACTACACTACACACCACACTACACACTACACTACACACACACTACACTACACACTACATACACACTACACTACACACCACACACACTACACTATACACGCACTACACTACACTCACACTACACTACACACTACACTACACACACACTACACTACACACTACATACACACTACACTACACACCACACACACTACACTATACACGCACTACACTACACTCACACTACACTACACACTACATACCACACACACTACACTACACACACACTACACACCACACTATACACCACACACACTACACTACACACACACTATACACTACACTATACACTACACACACCCTACACTACAAACTGCACACTACACGCATCTCCATCACCTATCCTCGTGTGAGCCTTGTCCCGAGCCTCTGATCGGTCGACTCAACCGAGAGCGAGTTAATGAGTATTTGGCTCGTACACGCGTGGGGTCGTCCACGCGGCCTGCACCAAGCACCCCCCCCGTCTGCGTGCTCAGTAACAATCACGACGGCGTTGCCGTGCGTGGTGTGAGCGGCACTCCTCTCGCGTTGGCTGCACTGGGCAGTGAGTTACACGCGCGCGGATCGGGTGAAGTGAGAACTACTTCAGAGTCGGAGCCCCACGAACGCGCCTCGCCTGCCTAGGGAAATTGAGCGAAAGGAGAACGATGGGAGAGCGATGGGAGAGTGCTAAGAGAGTGCTAGGAGAGCGATGGGAGAGTGCTATGATAGCGATGGGAGAGCGATGGCAGAGTGCTAGGAGAACGATGGGAGAGTTATGGCAGAGTGCTAGGAGAGCGATGGGGGAGCGAATGGAGAATGCTCTGAGAGCGATGTGAGAGCGATGGCAGAGTGCTATGAGAGTGCTATGAGAGCGACGGGAGAGCGATGGGAGAGTGCTATGAGAGTGATGGGAGAGCGATGGGAGAGTGCTATGAGAGTGCTAAGAGAGTGCTATGAGAGTGCTATGAGAGTGATGGGAGAGTGCTATGAGAGCGATGGGAGAGCGATGGCAGAGTGCTAGGAGAGCGATGAGAGAGCGATGGGAGAGTGATGGGAGAGTGCTAGGAGAGCGACGGGAGAGTGCTAAGAGAGTGCTATGAGAGTGATGGGAGAGTGCTAAGAGAGTGCAAGGAGAGCGATGGCAGAGTGCTATGAGAGCGGTGGGAGAGTGCTATGAGAGCGAAGGTCGAGCGATGGGAGAGTGATTGTAGAGTGCTATGAGAGCGATGGGAGAGCGATGGGAGAGTGCGAGGAGAACGATTTGAGATGATGGCTCTCGGGGCAACCGCTTGCTCCAACGTAAACGAGAACCAAGGAGGAGGTCGCGCAGAGACACAACTCAGACGCCGTGGCAGGACCACAGCGACGCAGAGGTTTTGCGGGGAGAGGGGGGGGGCACTGCCCCCCAGCTTGGCAGTCTTGTGGCGAGGGCGACAGAGAACAATCGCATCTAGCGCCATCCCCCCCTCCCAATCCCTGTTGGCAGGTGGACGAAAACAGACTCAACGTTAACAGGAAAACTTACGTGATAGTAGCATATCCTTTTGCAGTAATATATAAAGTGAGGATGTCAGGAAAGGGTTTTTGTTGTTGGATTCTATGGTACATTTATAATGTAACTATCTTGCATGAGCAGAGTATAATTGTATCTTGTGTAAATTAAATGACAGTGAATCTTGCACGAAAGTATGCCATCAAACACTCCACTGCATGTCACTGTAGCACTGTACATAACTGACCTTCAATTTGTTCAAATTCACTGCTCTGATACTTTATTCTCTTGAAATATTAAATATCTGGAAAATCACCGAGAAATGTCTATTTTACCATAAATGTAGAAGCATAAATTAGACTTACCGTTTGTCTCAAGTGCTGAAGAAATAAATAAAGACACCAAATCCACTTTGTTGCTGCGTATAATTATTTATTAGATTCACTTTCAATAAATAAACGTCAAACTTAAAGCGAATTTCCGACAAAATAATTCTTTTCTGCTCGACCTGCGAGGGTGTAAAAATGCACCCGCTCATGAATATTAATGACGGGGGGTGCGGCACGTGGAGAGACGTGGTGACACGCGCGTTACACACAGACATTCTTGGCTCATTATCGTAGTAATGCTGATGAAATTAGTTAAAACGCATGGCATAGTGGCGAGACGCTGTATCCAAGGGGAATCTAGCTCAGGTGCTGTGTTTAATGCGACCCACCTCGGGTCGTCCCCTTCGGCGACAGCTCCTTCACACCGATTAATTCGCACGCCACATCCTCCGCACCCCCCCCCCCCCCCCCCACTTGTAGGGTGGTGGCGCCGCATGGAGATGCGGCGATGTAATGGCACTCGAAGGCAAAGACGTCACGTTCTTTCGTTTTTTATTCGCTTTATTTTGTATTATTATTTTTCTATCTACATGACTTTACCGAAAGAACCAAATAATATGAATTCCTGCAGTCACGAAAGTTTTAAGTCAAAATTTAAAGACGTCACGGATAGCCTCCAACAGACTTGGAGCACGTGTTGTGAGCAGGGCGTGTGTTGTTAGCATGGGCACGTGTTGTTAGCAGGGGCACGTGTAGTTAGCAGGGACACGTGTAGTTATCAGGCACACGTGTAGTTAGCAGGGGCACGTGTTGTTTGCAAGGGCACCTTTTGCGAGCAGGGGGCACGTGTTGTTAGCATGGGTACGTCTTGTTAGCAAGGGACATATGTTGTTAGTAGGGTAATGTGTTGTTTGCAGGGGGCACATGTTGTTAGCATGGGCACGTGTTGTTAGAATGGGCACGTGTTGTTAGCAAGGGACACATGTTGTTAGCAGGAGCACGTGTTGTTAGCATGGGCACGTGTTGTTAGAATGGGCACGTGTTGTTAGCAAGGGACACATGTTGTTAGCAGGAACACGTGTTGTTAGCATGGGCACGTGTTGTTAGCAGGGGCACGTGCTGTAAACAGGGGGCATGTGTTGTTAGCAAGGGCACGTGTTGATAGCAGGGGCATGTGTTGTTAGCAAGAGACACATGTTTTTATCAGGGGGCATGTTGTTAGCAAGGGTACGTGTTGTTAGCATGGGCACATGTTGTTAGCAAGGGACATGTGTTGTTAGCGGAGGCACGTATTGTTAATAATAATTAACATTTGTAAGGCGCATTTCATCCGTAACACTGTGTGGCCTTAAAATGAAATGTATATAATAGGCGACGTTTCGGTTAATAGACTTTTATCGGAATTAAATCACGAGTGCATTTACGCCCCTTACACGTGTACTCGTTGGTCCGCGCTCGCTCGATGCATTCGCACTGGGCAAGTCACCACGAAGCCCCTTGAGATTCGAGGAATCGTCAGGAAATTATTCCCTTGATCCGGGGCCCCATGGCCCAGCCACACGACTGCATGGCATATTGGAGTGGAAAGTCAAGAGACTGATGGACCAAACATTAATATATGGGGAGATAGAGAACGCAGTTCTGTTTATCAGCGGTGGCCAATACACCAAGCACTGTGTGATCCGTTCTGGTGTATCTCAAGGGGCTCAGTGATCCAACCAGAAACGTTTGGCCAACAATTATCACGCCAAAATATTACGCAGAGTACTGGCGTCACGGAGAATACTGCACAGCGATTCGTGAATGAAAGATCAATGACTCGCGCGGATTGTGAATTCAGTGAGGTGAAAACCACCAGAAACGTCACTCGTGGGTGCTTAACGCAACACGCGTAGCACTGCATGCCGTGGAGGGGATTAAAACATGAAACGTACAAATCCTTATGGCGGTACCTCGAGGTACCAAATAATACAAACTGGCCGAGGCAATTAAATATTTTATTTCTGGGACACAATTTTTTCCAGGGGTGTACTTCACTCCGCGACTGGTGTAACCAATCAATCCGACATCAGTGCCACACTCCGCGATGTCGAAACGTAGCGAGGACGATTGTGCTGAGACCCCGAACGTTCGCGGTACGCACCGTAATTGGTGGTGCATCGTAGTGTACAGCTCGTCGAGATGAGTCGATTGCCGCATTGCCGACCATCAACAGACGAAAGATGACTGCATCACGGACATTATGTGAGAGCCGGGGGTACTCTGGTATCGCCATAAGGTTCAATAGCAAGCCTGTTGCTTTTTTTTTTCAAATGCCGTACGAAAGAAGACGAGTGCCATCTATTGGTAGACGTTATATATTTTTTAAATCGATGAATTGGAAGATTGCATTTACATATTCCACCAGACGTGTACATAATTGCTGTGTGATTCAATCAATGTTTGTTTTAACTTGTAAAGGTGAGCGCGCTGCGCTTCGAACTCGGCCACCCGAGTTCGATTCCCGCTTATCTGAACCGGTCCCGGATCTCCTCTCGGTCGACTCAGCCTAAAATGAGTCCCTGGAGCGGTGTGTAAAAAAAAGGCGGTTGGGCGTGGTGCTGGCTACCCACCCCCTGGTGTGCCGTTCCGGCCTTCATAAGTGCTCGCTAACAGCACTTGCCCCACAAGTCTGTTAAGGCTACACGGGGGATTTTTGTCTGATTTGTCTTGAGATGCACAAGGAATATTTCGCGATCCACCCGTGGATCGCAATACTGGAAAGCCTCCACATCCCCACGAGTTCTGCACTTGTAAAATCTGCGCGGGAGAAAATGTTTCATAACATTAAACCTGTACTGCACACATAAATAATATCCGTACACTTAATGAAATTGTACCCTAATACAAATAAAGAGAAAAAATCATACAACGGAACACTTAAATAAATAATCATGTACATTTGGAAGTTGTTTTTACCTTTGATGATGATGGGGGTGTGATGATGCTGGTGCCAGGTCGATTCTAAAAAAATAAGCTAATAGCTCAGTGGGTTCTATCTGGTAAAACAAACTAGTTTAGTTTTAATGTATTTTTTAGTGATTTGCTTATCTTTCTTGTACTTTGCACTCCTATCGTGGTGTTTGATTGTTTGTTGTAATGTTATAAACTAAACACTAAACTATTTTTTGTATTATGCCAGGTAAGGCCCATTGAACTATATGGCTATTTTTCAGAAGCAACCTGGCCACACATGATAGTTGAACGAAGTGGCTTATCACGTGGAAATTTATTGCAGCCAAATACTCTAAACGCATGTTTTAAAATGTGGAGGGGAAAACCAGAGGACCCTGAGGAAAATTCACGTGAGCAAGGGGATAGGGACACGCAAACTCCAAATATACAGCAGGCATCAGGGTCGGGATCGAACCCCCGACCTCCTGCACACCAGGCGAGGTAGTTAACATCTCATAGCCACCGTGGTGCCCTCACGCGCCCCGACTGGATATTGTGAAAAAGAGCTTCATAGCTCATCGTTTTCCTCCAGGATAATGATTCTGACTTACCGCCACTTTCCCTGATTGCCTTCTCGTTTTCCTTCATGGATCTGACTGTCGACTCGTTTATTAAGTCATAGGGACCAACAGCAGACGAAACTATCGCCGCGAGCAAGTCTATCCAAAAAACTTTACTTTTTGAGCTAAACTCATCACTTTTTTCTGCCTCTTTTAACTCTTGCTCACACTTCCTCCACTGACATCGACGCCAACAGCGGCAGCTACACGACTGACTGCCGCCTGTACCACCTCCCCTCTGCTTTCGGTCGTCCAGCCGCCTCTCCGTTCGCTCTCGTCGCATCGCACTCCAGCTCACGGTAGAACTCTACGCAGCAGCGAGGCTCAAAACCTCCATCCAGTCTCTACAACAAGGGCCAAGAGCATTACTGTTGGGTGTCGTTTCTAAAAGGCTACCCCGGCCGTCTGAAACAGGGCCATCATCCATCCTGCTGCACATTCTCAGCAGCAGTATACACACCGACATTTAGGAGACACTTAAAAGGTCTCAACTTTCCCTTGCCAGGTTTCTGAGCGACCCTGCGCCTGACTCCACGCTTCAGTGAGGGTCATTTGTCAGTGGGACATCGTGCGCGTTACAAACTGCATTATTATACCATAATTCTATTCATCATCCATATCTGCAAGCGTAGATTAATCTTCCTCCAGCGTATGGCAAGTCCAGTGTGTGTAAATTATCTGTCGAAGTTCAAGTTTGAGAGTCGTGTGACAGCTTCATGAGAACAGACAGACCTTGCGGAGCGCTTAAGATGCGTTGCTGAGCTCTCATCGAATCGACGCTAACCAGGGTCATTATTCCATCGCATATATCGGGATGCGCTTCCGACACCATCATTTATTTCGTATGTATGAAGGCTTCATTGGGGTATCGGTGATCGCGCTAATAATACAGATGGTAAACATTATTTCATGAATAAATAATAATGTATTTTAACATCAGTACGTATGCAGTACTCTACTCACTCACGAGTGAATTCTACTCTACTCCAAGGCAGCGGTGGGAGACGAGTTTGGGTCACTCTCAGCGAAGAGCTCCAGGACCTCCGTGGTCTCGGTGATGCCCTCAGTCGAAGCGTATGTGGTGAGGTTTACTTTAAGTGGCGCCTGAGACTCTATCCTGGTCTCACCTGACTTAACATTGAGATAATAAATCTATACTCTTTTGGTTTCTTTCGGTAAAATCACGTAGGTAGAAATCAAATAAAACAAATCACGACGTTTCGATCGCAACACAAGCGATCTTCATCAGGTGGGACAACCACAGCAAGAAAATGCTGAAGTGGGCGGGAGAGCTGCCGTGGCAAGAGGTTATATGGGTGGTGTAAATGTGGTCGGTCTTACCTTGTTGTCGCGGCGTCTCTTCAGAAAGGTGAGAGACTCGATCATGAGAGCCTGCTCGTCTCGTAGTCTGTCAAAAAATGTGTAAAAAAATCTAATTAAATGTTTTTTTCGTGACTTCGAATCGTGGGGTCTGGTGGACTCAGAGCGTACGTTACTCTCATTGGCTGAGCGAATCATGGGAGCGGAGAGGTTTCCTTCGTCAGCGGTCCCCTGCTCCCACTCGTCAGCGCTTTTTAGATTTTTTTAAAAAACATTTGTTAAGAAAAAACCATCCAGGACAAAGAGTGCGATAACAAATCAGCATTCTCCAGGGTCGCGCGAAGTGAGGTCACTAGTGTCACTAATACTGTTGTTCGCCATATGGCCCATTGTTTGCCTCGGGTGGCCACGGTCTCACGATGGGTCACCTTTTTATCTCCCAGAGGTGGAAGCGGTGTGTGCAGCGACCGGTCGCTGTTCTGGAGAGCTTGATGTAGCGCCACCGTTTTCTTGGCAGAACAAATCCACGTGCAGCAGTGGTGGTGGGGGGGGGGGGGGTCTTCGATTCGGCTTTTATTTGGAACCTTGACAGAACTGTGTTATAGTGTTCGCCAACGATCTTCAGTTGTCTCTGCTTCATCCAATCGTCTCACGCAATCCCACATTGCTTTCCGGGATCTCAGACCAGTTTGTGGACGGTCAAGCAGGTCTTGGAGTAATGGGAAGTCGACGCTTTTCTCGAATTTTTCCCAGTTGATTTGACATTGCTGCATGCTGCTGGAGGTTTGCTGGCACGTTGGCCCAAAACGTGGATCCACTGAGTGGGAATGCACTTCAGACCACCCGTTATTGTCCAAAGGACGTCGTTTATCTGGATGTCCAATTTCTTTGTGTGGGGCGCTAAATGCCCACACAGACTGGCGCGCAATACCTCGGCACTGAACTATACGAGTGCGAGGGGACCTTACGTAGACTTTTGACGGTGGCTCACCATGTCGTACTGGCCAGTTTTTGAAGAGTCCCCTCTGATTTTTGTTTATTTGCAAACTCTTTTGATGTGCTTTTTTTTTTTGAGCCGAGGGTTCTTTCTAACGTTATGCCCAAGTATTCAGGGCACGGGCTCGCTTTTGATAAGGTTACCAGAAAAAAAGGCACTTGCAACTGGGCGTTCATGTCGCAGTTAATGAGGCGGTGGATTGAGACTGTCGTTCTGAATTTAATCGGAAAAAGTCTCCACCTTTGTAAGTATCCTTCTAATACGGACAAGTCTTCGGTTAGTTCGTTACAAATGTACTTTAGGTCTGTTCCCTGTGTAGTTATCGCTGTCTTCAGCAGTTCGCTGGTGAAGATTTCTAACAGGATTGGAGGCAGTCCTGATATCGCTGTGGTAGCCGTCATTGATGTTTTTGTATGGCTTCTGTTACCGGCAAGTTGTAACCAAAAGTTCCGGCTGCCAAGCATCACATTCAGCAGATTCAGTGTTAAGTGGCACTTGATAATGCGTGCTGCCTTGAGCCCACATCTCCAGAAGGTGTAATCGGCGGATGAGAGGTATATTGTGGTTAACTCACAGCAGCTTCAAGCCGGTGAAAAGCCGGCTTGTTTGACAGGCTTTACTGTGGGCGCGATGCGTGCCAGCAACATGTGCTCCATCAATGTGTACGCCGTCAATAGCAGTGAGATGGGCCTGTAACCTGAGGTCTGATCTTCTGGCTTTCTCGTTATTAGCAGGGCAACGACTTTTGCTTCTTTCCAGGCTTTTGGGGATTGTGCCACTTAAACGGACTGGTAATCAAGCCCGCTCGCCAGTCTTGGCCGACAGTTCCCAAGTTGTTGAAGAATTCAGGATATACGTTGTCGTTACCTGCGTTTTTTTGGCTTTGGTGGCTCATAGTGTGTCAACAATACGTTCCTTAGAATATAGACGGGAGAATGTGGCGCATGTAAGTAGGCTCCTTACGGATTAGTTACATCTGCACTTCTTGTTTGTCCTGCATATCAGAGCTTTTGTGCAGGCATGGTGAGGTCATTTTTAATTTGTAGCGCCTTTTTTTCTAGGTGGGAGATGGTAGCCTTCACCAGGTTCACCTTTAAGTTTCTCATTGCACGACCAATACCATCAGAGGGTATTTTTGGAAATCGTTTATATACATTTTGATTGAAAGCTTTCGTGACTGCAGGTATTCACATTCTTGGTTCTTTCGGTAAAGTCACGTAGAAGGGAAACAATAAAATAATAAAAATATAAAACAATAAAATTCTCACGACGTTTCGACTGCAACACAAGCAATCATCATCAGGTGTGAAAACCACAACAATAAAATTTGATGATTGCTTGTGTTGCAGTTGAAACGTCATTAGAATTTTATTTTTAAATATTTTTATTATTTTATTGTTTCCCTTCTACGTGACTTTACCGAAAGAACCAAGAATACTTTAATATCGTTTATACATTTGTTTTAAAGCATGTGTAATTCCACCGGGTTATATCCACACAAAAACGAACTTTGGTTGGTGCTTATATCCACTGGCGGTCCTTAGTTGTGGATTCCACATTCCTATGGCGGAGGTGAGTACAACTGAAAGTGACAAGTGGAACTTATTTTATTGAATAATTTACAGAATCCAACAATATGGGCGACATAAATTATGGGGGTGGCACAGACACGCAGTAGTTTGCGTACTGCACTATGAACCTGCCGACCAGAGTTTGATTCCCAGCCACACATGACATCAGTAGCAGGTGATATCTGAACCGATGGTCCCACTCCTTTCGCAACCCACTGACCAGCGGGGTAAAGTATGGTCAAAGCCCCATGATTGAACCAGTGTGGGGAGGCCATCACCCAGAAGTGGATTGACCAAAGGTTGCACTTGTATCCGAGGCCAGAAAAAAAATCTATTTAATTTGGAGTTTTAACGTTTAGATTTCGTATATGTTGCACTATTTCTACTACGTTCTCGCCTGTGATGTGTCCATCAATGCTTGTTCACAAGGGCCATCAAAACTGCAAATCACCAGCAGTGAGGGAATCTCTCTTTCGTTGTTTGACCGTATTCACCATGCTGGTGTCTCTGTTTAACCACTGTCCTTCACCATTCTGGCATCCTCTCTCTGTGACCATACTTCACCATTCTGGTCTCCCTCTCTGTGACCATACTTCACCATTCTGGTCTCCCTCTCTGTGACCATACTTCACCATGCTGGTCTCCCTCTCTGTGACCATACTTCACCATTCTGGCCTCCTCTCTGTGACATACTTCACCATTCTGGTCTCCCTCTCTGTGACCATACTTCACCATGCTGGTCTCCCTCTCTCTGATCATACTTCACCATTCTGGTCTCCCTCTCTGTGACCATACTTCACCATTCTGTTATCCCTCTCTCTGTGACCATACTTCACCATTCTGGTCTCCCTCTCTGTGACATACTTTACCATTCTGGTCTCCCTCTCTGTGACCATACTTCACCATGCTGGTCTCCCTCTCTGTGACATACTTCACCATGCTGGTCTCCCTCTCTGTGACATACTTCACCATGCTGGTCTCCCTCTCTGTGACCATACTTCACCATGCTGGTGTCTGTGCCCGATGTACGCACCACGTGTTTCCGGGGACGCACGCAGCCCGCACCGCATGGGCGGAAGTGGCCGCGCGCGCTCGCGCGTTTAAATTCCGTAGCGCACATAGGCGTGGGGCAGCTGCCACGCGCTCTTCCATTGGTCCGAATTTAATTGACCTCGGCCAATCGGATTGCCGTGCTCGCGCGTACGAATTGGAAAATCTGAACCCCCACCCCGTATTCGGAAGGGGGAAGGGTTCAGGAGGCGCTTGCCAGGGTAGAGGTTTTTTTTACCTCCACGTGAGCGCCACGTGCTCCTCGCGTCCACCTTTAGTCAAGGAGTCCACCCTCAGCGGGCCCCGCGTCCTCGTCACAGGTGAGGCCCATCATCATCATCGCCGCTGCCGCCATTGCGCGACACTATCGGTTGTCCAGGTTGTGAATGAGTAACGACATCGCAAAAACGGAGAATCTATCGGCCACGCTCGAGGTGGTTGGTGGTTGAGCGCAGTCCCGGTGGGCGCTGCGCTACGAACCCGGCGTCCCGAGTTCGATTCCCGCTCACGGTCAACACCGGTGACGATTATCTCTGAACCGGTCTTTGTCCTCCCCCTAGGTCGACTCAAATGAGCGCTTGGCGCGGTGTGCAAACACCGCCACTGGGGAGACAAAGGCGGCCGCGCGTGGTGCTGGCCACCCACCCTCCTTGTGTGTCGTTGCAGGCCTTTATAGGTGCTACTCCGCTACCAGAACTTGCCCCTTGCAGTCTGTTACAGGCTACACGGGGCATCTTAGTTATAGATTATCACACAAAACGTTCACTGGTGTGGTTCTGATATCCGTAATAGGTGAAGGAAATGAAACCTGAATTTGAATAAAAGAGCATGATTTGCGTTTTTTTGGGGATTTATGGTTAAATTTAGTGATGGAAATGGACTTTGGATGAAGTCAAAATTACGTTGGAGATTTTATTTGACTTTCTTGGGAAACTTTCCCCATATGAGTGGCATTATCATTAACAACACAACAACTGCCATTCGCCACTAAGTGGCGGTGACGTCACCACGGCGCTTGTGCCAGGCTATGTGCACGTTAAGGCCACGTGAAGTGCCTAACGCCCGCTGGCAGGAGGTCACTGGGCAAACCCAGGTGCCATGGGTCAACTGACTTCATAATAATACAAATTATCACCATTAACAACACCGACACAGACGAACAAAGACAACAGCCGCCATTTACCACATCGAGACGGACACAGAGACATCAGAGTAACACTATTAAATACATTGAAACAAGCATAGATATACAAATAAAAATATGAAACAGGCGATCACAGGGCCATCCAAACAATTACCAATTCAACAACAACAGCTGACACACCCCACTTATAGCCGGTGACATGCCCCCGGGCGTGAGTGATTTAACCAAAGACTCACGGTCTGTGGTTCTAATTGAATCAAGACGAGGCCAGGGGAACAGGCGATGATAGAGGGGAGAGCGACACGATTGTGGAAATTCCACATTTCCATGATGGCACTAAGTTCGTCCATAGTGGAATGTCAATTGGGAAAGCAATGCACACACATTATCAGTCATGATCAATCCACTGCAGAATGAACGGTTAACAACGATATATTTTTTATTGGGTGTGCTGAGAAGCTATAGCAAGCTGAAAAGTGTGTGGTACCATGGAGAAAGAGGCGCTACGGTGGCGAGATGTTAACTACCTCGCCTGGTTTTCATGAGGTCGTGGGTTCAATCCCAACCCTGACACCTGTATATTTAAAGTTTGCCTGTTCTCCCCATGGTTGCATGCATTTTTCTCCGGGTCCTCCCTCTACATTTAGAATCAACGTGCGTTTGGAGTATTTAGCTGCTATAAATTTCCACGTGATGCATCACTTTGTTGAGATATTATTTGTGGCCAGGTCGCTTCTTAAAAAGAGCTATATAGCTCAGTGGGCCTTACCTGGTTAAGTAAAAATAGTTTAATTTAGAGAGAGGTTTAAAGTGCTGATGTGACGTGTTTCCCCCCAGGTCAGGCACCAGGAGGGCGGTGAAGCGGAGCTGCGGCGTGACCACGAGCAGCAGGAGCAGGAGGAAGAGGAAGAGAGATCATGGCGGAGAATGTGCAGCGGCGCCTGGAGGAGCGAGTCCCAGAGCTGGAGCAGCTGGAGCGAGTGGGGCTCTTCTCCAGCGGCGAGATTAAGTGGGGGCTCCACACAGCATGACACAGATTCACACAGCATCGCACAGCTTCGCACAGCATTACACAGCTACTCACAGCTCGACAAAGCTCAACACAGCACCCCGCAGGTACACACAGATCCACAGCTACACACACCATCACACAGCGTCGAGTGCTACCGCTGACTCCTTGCGTGTGCCCCGTTGCCAGGTGCATCTTGAAGAAGGTCACGGCGCACGAGTACCGCCTGGAGCGCCGGGCGATCAGCAAGGACGACTTTCTGAGCTACGTGCAGGTGGGGAGAGTGGAAGGCGACCAGGGGGGACACGGCCAGGGGGCTCGGCCGCCTGGAGCGTGGCTCCGCATCACCGCTGCCATCGCCGCCACGCCGAGACGGTGGTCACACTGAGACTGCAGGCTCCAGCCCGTATTCTTACTCACACTTCGGCTCAGACTTTGGTCTGGCTCAAGTGAGCCGGCTTTTGAGCGTGGTCCCAGCTATGCTCAGGATTATTTACATGAGCTGATCCTGAGCTGAGCCAGAGCTGAGCCTGAGCCGAGCCATGGCTGAACCGTTCACTCTCGCGTGGTCTTTGGAAGCATCCTATAAAATTATTTTACCAGGTAAGGCCCACTGAGCTATATGGCTCTTTTTCAGAAACAACCTGGCCACAAATGAAAGCTCAAAGCTTATGTGGAAAGTTATAGCAGCCGAATACTCTAAATGCATGTTTCTAAATGTAGAGGTAAATCTGGAGGACCCGGAGAAAAATACACGCGACCACGGGGAGAGACATGCAAACTCCAAATATACAATTTTTAAAAGTCAGGATAGAACCCACAAGCTCCTGTGTACCAGGCGAGGTAGTTAACATCTCGCCACCATCCGAGCGACTCTAGCCTGAGCCTGAGTTTTAGAGGTCGAGACGCAGCCCTGAGAGCTGGTTGGAGTCGACTCCGGCGATGGATTAACTCCGGCGTTGGATTAACTCCGGCGTTGCGCCTCGCTTGGGGTTGATTGCCTGAACATTCTGGTTTCTCACTCGGCCGTAGACGGCTGCGTGGCCGCGCTTCATTGTGGGCAGTGCAGAAATATACACTTTTGTATTGCACTAACATGCTCGCACATCTTTACCTCGCCGCCTTCACTAACCTGTACTTACCGTCTTCTATCCAGTGCTGCCGTTTTTTTTTCAAACAGCGCCTGTGCACTGAAATGTCACGGCGGAAAACAACTTTACAAGTGTCTTCTCTCTCCTTGTTGTGTTTTCAGTATGAGATGAACCTCCTGGAGCTCATCAAGCAGCGGCGTAAGGTGCGTGGACATCTGGCTCATCTGCCACGACGATTTTCTCTGGGTTTTGGGGGTTCATTTAAGAGTGTTTATCGGTTTTGGTGACCAACGTAGCAAGCCGGGCCTCTGTGGAGGACTCAGTCAGAATTCGTTGTGGCACTATTTTGGCCATCGTCTCTGAACGCCGTTTCACTCCCACAAACACATTAACGTTTCATCATCAGCAGCTGTGGTCAGTCCACTACTGGATTAAGTCCTCCGTCGGGACCATCATCTCTTGTAGCCGTGACGCGTCCTACACCCAACAGAAGGACTCGTTCGTTTAGTCTCTGGACGAGTTTGTTTGACGTGTGGCGACCTCAACGTTTTACCCGTGGCCGTCGTCTTGTGGTGACGTGGCCCTACCTGCCCCCCCCCCCCCCGCGCAGCGCACGGGCTATAGGTTCAAGAAAGAAGAGATCGAGGTCGCGAGCGTCCGTCGCATTAACAAGCTGCTGACGCGCGCCACCAACAAGTGGAAGGTGGGCGCCCTCCCCTTGCACGTCCCGTCACTCGCCGTGCATCGCCATTCCTTCTGCGGTAGCGGCCGGGCACCCAGCGAGTGGCTCGGCTCGTGTATTTGCCCGGGTCGCACGGGGGGGGGGCCCACTCTTTATTTGCCATCTCTTTCTGTTGTCTTGCAGGAGGACGTGCAGATGTGGCTGACGCACATCGACTTCTGCAAGCAGTGGGTGAGTGGCGCAGATTTCCGAGAAGCGCGGCCACTGGGGCGGTTGTCGAGACGCGTGCTGTAAGGACGACTGTGATGCTGGGTCTGAACAATGCACCGGAGTTAGCCGCGTTGCTTCGCAGTGTCGTGCCTATAAATACGCAGTGTCGCCCGTATCTGACAATCGTCGTGTGTTTTGAATTCCATTTCTAGTCGACCTGCCGTAACCTGTTGCCCAACAGCCCCTGTGTCCTTGCTGACTGCCCTCTAGCAATGTGCAAGTTAACGAGGTCACGGCATCGGTTTGCGTGACTGTGCAGCTCGTTATTCAAGGTCGCACTTGGGGGAGACGGCGAGGGAGGGGTTTGTGCCCTCGGTTGCGCACGACGGTGCATTGACCAATGTGACGCCATTCCCCCACTCGCAGAAATGCCGCCAGCAGCTGGGCAGGACTTTCACTACGATGCTCGCGATCCATCCCAACAAGCCAGGTGCATGCCTCCCCCGTGCTCCACCACCGTCCCTCCCCCGTGCTCCACCACCGCCCCTCCCCCGTGCTCCACCACCGTCCCTTCCCCGTGCTCCTCCACCGTCCCTTCCCCGTGCTCCACCACCGTCCCTTCCCCGTGCTCCTCCACCGTCCCTTCCCCGTGCTCCTCCACCGTCCCTCCCCCGTGCTCCACCACCGCCCCTCCCCCGTGCTCCACCACTGTCCCTCCCCCGTGCTCCACCACTGTCCCTCCCCCGTGCTCCACCACCGTCCCTTCCCCGTGCTCCTCCACCGTCCCTCCCCCGTGCTCCACCACCGCCCCTCCCCCGTGCTCCACCACCGTCCCTTCCCCGTGCTCCACTACCGTCCCTCCCCCGTGCTCCACCACTGCCCCCCCCCCCCGTGCTCCACTACTGCCCCACCCTTGTGCTCCACCACCACCCCTACCCCGTGCTTCACC